TGGCATGGCATGGGATGGGATGGGATTGGATTGGATTGTATTGCTTTTCATGCAAGAGCCAGGGGGTTGGAGTGATGGACGGTGCGCATACAGAAGGGAACTTTGGGGGCGGGAGGGCTGCTGCACGTCAGCTTTGAGTCTATCACGAAAGCCCCCCCTCTCTCGGCAGCTCCAACTTGGCGAATCAAAACCGTGGTCAAGTTCCGGGTTGCCAGGGGCAGGAGGGCGTGGGATGCGGCTTTTCGGGCACCAAGCGGGGTTATATAGGGTGGGCCGGTGACATTGGTAACGTTCTCCGTTCCCTCTCAGTCGCCTGTCAAGCAAGGCCTACGTCGGCGAGATGCAGAGGCGCGGCGGGCGCCGAGCAATCGGCTTTGCAGCCCATGTTTCAAAGAGTCGACGTCCCGTCCGGAGAGAGCAACGCGAGAAGGGAGCTGTCTGCTTAGGGCTCTGGTCATCTCTGGTCGCTGCGGCGAGATTCGGTGTGTTGAACTTGTCTGTCCTCGGGAGAGCTAGCACTGTGCCTCCGACAGGAGTCTGGAACACGGCCCTGGCATCCAGTATGGTGATCAGCGACAAGCTGGACCAGAAAGTCTGAGATGAGCAGCGCGTACTGTAGTCAGTTGCTCACTGCGTGAGGATTCTGGCTTGAATCGAAGCTGGCCACTGCGTGAGGGCCACAATTTCATGCTGGCTGCCAGCTGGCTGCTAGCATGTCATCGTCGTAGATGGCGTAAATGGCCATTTTGCTGAGTCCAAGGCTGAAGTATTCTGGATCAGGAAAAGCCTGTGTTCGGGCCTCGCTGTTCTGGGGAAAACTATGTCCCATGCAGCCACGCTTTAGAAGCTGAGGTGCTGCTTGGGGAGAGTTTCGAGGTCGGTAAATTCTATCTTCTCCCTCTCTCTCTGCCTCACGGATCGCCATCCGTCCAACAGGATCATGCGACGCGCTCCGATCCGCTTGAGCCTCAGAGCGCAGCAGGACACACGCGGCACTCCCCAAGAGCGCTTTCCGAGGCCCCCGGCAGGCATCGCAATGCACACGCTGCCAAGTGGAGACTGGTACGTAAGTGCCTTGCTGTGCCAATCTTTGAGACGATTCGACGGAGCCTGTGCGGCTTAGGTGGGCAACGTCGAGGTCGTACTGCCTTGACTGCCGTGCCTAGAACTTGCCATGCTGGAGATGAAAGGCAGGAAGGAAGCACGGCCGCGGCATCTTCGTGCACTCCTGTGATCGCTTCCCGTTTAGGAGCAGAAGCTTGCATGCAACAGGGGCTAAATTCTCAGAGAGCAGAGGTCTACGCTGACGGCACCCTGTTCAAGGCTGATTGGCAGGAGGATTCTTCAGACGGAGTCGCGTGCTTAGCTTACTTTCGATTCCACCGAGAAAGCCGGTAGCGATTGTCCTCCTCTGTTGCCCCTCGCTGCTTCCGAGGTCTTGTTTTCTGTTTCTCGGAGAACCTCTCTGTCCGTGTGCCGTCCTTCACATTTCATTCTCTTGGCCTGGATTTTTCTACCAGCCTGGAGCATCGGTTCCTCTTGCCTCCCGACCCTCCCCAACTCTTTCTCTCCTCTTTCTCCTTCTGTGTCTCCTAACATGAGAGAACCTTCCAAGCAGTAGTGCCCTTCCGAAGGATGCATATCGCAGCAACATGATATGCGTATAGTTGAAGATATGATTTTGAAGGGCTGGCGCTTGTCCCAAATCCACCGTCCAGCGGAGGTCAGGCACCCTCGTGACGCAGTGTGCGAAGGTGGATCAATGTCCGAATCGCGCTTCCTGGCACGGTGTTTGATACAAGCTCAAGTTTCAGGCGAAGATGCCTTGGCCTCTGCAGCGGATGCCTCGCAGTAGCCGGCGCTATGGACCGCAAGGCTTCCTGGATTGTGCACACGATTGGAGGCTTTTTAGAGATGTTTGTTTCGAGGCCAAGTTTCAAGCGAAGTATGCGATGCCGTCAACTCTTCGGCTTTGCTCCAACACTTTGCAGTAGAAAGTGTTGACTAACTAGGGCGCGCAACTTGTGCGATCTGCCTTTCCGATCATGCCGGCTGCTAGCAGCATGCTGAACTGCCGGTGGGTCTTTGCCGGCATGCTGGGTGCGGTGATCATAGAGGTCCCTAGCCACCTGCCCACGAAAGTGGGAGCTGCGTGGAACTGGGGGACAAGTCCTTCACCAGCACCAGCTGTCTGCAATGTATGGTCCTCTTGGAGCGACTGCTCTGTGACATGCGGGCAGGGGTCACAGTCCCGTACCAGAACCGGTAGTTGCTCCTTCTACGACGAAACCGACATTTGTTTCATGGAAGACTGTCCACCTCCTTGTCAAGACTGGGAATCCTGGGGTTCTTGCTCCCAAACTTGCGGAGACGGCACCAGATCGCGCTCCCGAACTGGAGGGTGCACTTCATTGACAGAATCGGAAGGGTGCACAGACGCAGTGTGTGCCACCAGCACCACTACTTCCGAAGCCTCCACCACAGAAACTGAGAATGCAACAAATACTTCGACCTCAGGGGCCACCACATCACAAAGTGAGACCAGCACAACGGGCGACTCGACGGAATCCACAAGCACCACTTCAAGCACCTCGTCCTCAAGCACATCAGCCTCAAGCGCAGCAAGCACGAACGCCAGCACGAGCACGACACCTGAGGTGCAGGGAGACTCGTTAGACGGCAACTCCCCACCAGTTTTGGACAGCAGCAGCAGGTTGACCAAGTCGATCACGTACTGGTGGTGCATCCTGATTCTCAGAAACTTCGCTCAAAAGTAATGCCACGTCCAAACCCATTTTCAGTAGCTTGCGCTGTATCCGAACGATACTTGGCGGCTGCTTTTCCGGACAGATAGGTGCAGGTGATTGCAGGCGCAATGACGGCAAAGCTGCTCATTTGCAAATTCGTTTAGGTAGACGCTTTTGGCCGATTTCGCCGTGTCAGTGCTGCTTATGCTGCTCGCGTTGAAAGTTGTGCTTTGGCTCCCGATCCAATGACGCTGTGGCAGCAGAGTTTGCGGACGCACTGCTGTCAGGCCCTTGCGGGGTGGCTCCAGGCCGAGCAAATCTTTGCAGTCCAGCTGTAAAGCCAACCAGGAAGTCTTTGCAGTCCAGTTGTAAAGCCACCAGGTCGACAGAAGATGGTGCACATGTACACACCATTGGTTTCACCTGAATCTAGTGCCGCCTGAACCTGAAACAGGGTTCGGGACGGGGAGGGGGGGGGGGGCAGGGCGGCCGCGAAATGAATCGGCTTACAGCCCATCCAAAAAATCCAGCTCCCAAAAGTCCGTCCCAACTGCTCAGGTGGATATCTGATGGTTAAGGTCGCATATGTGCGCGCATAGTCTCGAAAGCTCCTGCATCCTTCGTTTGTTGAGCTTTCGTGCCCACTGGGTGCAAGTCAGAATGCGGACACAGCAGCAGCAGCCGCTGCAGCAACATCAACGGCAGTGAGGGTGCGCATGCTTGATGCAGCCTCCTTGTTTTGATATCACGCTGATGCATGGCTCAGGCTGAAGCAGCTATGAGGTTCAATGGTGCACTGCTCATGCATAGGCAAGTTCTCAAGTTCAAGACGGATGAAATCACTGCGCAGCATGATCCCACCTGAGCACATGGATGATTCATGCATCGAGTCAGAGTAGAAAATCACAGCTTGGCTTGGTGCCGCTGGCATGGGTGCTAAAACAAAGGCACGCCTGATCATGTCGGACATTGCAGACTGATTGACCGCATCATGTGCAAAAGGAAGAGGACGACGAGGTGGAAGAGGATGAAGAGGAGGTGCTGTCAGCCACAGCGTTGGCTTTGGCAGTTGACTCGCAACGCCGAGGATGTGCCCAAGAAGACCGGTGAATCTGCCAAGGAGGCGGGTACAGTTTGTTTATTTTGCGTACTGTTGGCAGCTTGGCGCCGAACCGAGGCAAAACATCTCGACAGTTTGACAGATGCCATCGACGAGGAGCCTTGTACAAGAGTTGCACTGTCTGCAGTCACAGTCGCTTCTTAGGAACACTGTGCTTCACAGTGCTCATGGCAGGACAAAACCACGTCTTCCAAAGTTGATGCTAAGGAGGCGGAAGCATGGTATGGACTCAAGTCTTGGCTTCTCATTTGTTGGTGAGCTGGTGTAGCAACCTCGTTCCAAGTCTGCTGGTGAAGGTCCAAGCGAAGCTGGACGAGTTCAACAAGCGCAAGGATGCGATGCATCCTGTGCAGTTTTGGCTTTATGTCAGTGGTGTGGGAACGCTTGTTCCACATTTGAGGAGGAGGCTGACAGAAAGCGAGCCGAGAGAGAAAAACAGCTTGCTCAAGAAAGGCTGGCCCACCCTCGTGGTTTCACACGGTCTCGGGCTTCATACCTATGAGCAGGATCAAGAAAGAAGACGTGGATTTGATGTGTCAGTGCCTGTAGCCTTTGGAACAGCAGGGCGGGCCCTTTCCAGTGATTCTGAGGCTCTGAATTGCCGCTTTGTGACCGGGACGTTCTCGATCGTGTAGGAAGCCGAGCAGTGCCAAGCGTCTCCGAGTGCCTGTTGAATTGCAGCTCAGCTCGACCTTGACTTGACGAGTTACTGCGAGTGCACCGCGGCGATCTCAAAGAAGCACTTCGGTCAGCTGTCAGGAGATCTCATGCTTGCATTCGTGTTTGCATCCTCGACTTCAGTGATGCAGTCCTGTCGACGTCTCGTGGGACGACTCGTCTTCGTCAAGCCTCGCAGCCAGGAGTTTCCCTGCAAACAGCGCCTGAACAACAGGCATGCGATAACCCTGAGGCTGGAGCAATATGCTCCGCTGTTATCTGACTCGGATACAGCGCTCAGCATCCCAGCTCACGCTTGAGATTTTGGCGCCAGCGAGCGTTTGGGGTGCCGAAGGGAACTGAGGGACGCTGCATGTTGCACAGAAATCTTAGCGCACAGTATTTGTGAAGCAATCGACAAACATCGCGTCCCATCAGGATATGTCTTCTGATTCTTTTACTTGCGTATTGTGCCTCCTGACTTTATTATCCCCCGACGCCGTGCGCATAGAAACTGCCATGGCAAGCACAGATCCCTGCAGCGAGAGCAGACCGTCACGCTGCATTCGCAAGCGTCGCAAACGCATGGCTCGCACGGATTCACAACCATTCGCAGACCTTTCGGTTCTTGCGAAATGGGGTTGTCAGCGTGATCTGCCTGGCGCCGGGGTTCGAGAGCCACGTTTATGAATGGATTCAATCCAGCTGAGTGTTGAACATGATAGTTCAGTTTCAACGCGGTCTCGAGGCGGACCTGATGTCCAGTCCCAAAGGGGGCTATGTGGGCCTGGCAGGCGACGGGGCGAAGTGCAGCAGTCAATCGTGCAAGCAGTTGCTCCGTTGTGATACTGTGAAATCACGGCTTAGAGCGCTGCAGGCAACCGACCAGGCGGAATGCAGCAGGGCCTATTCTCCATGAGAGCACCTGCCGAGCTGTGTTCATTTTTGCAGGATCGTATTCGCCCACTGCAAGAAGTCCACAGGGAACCTCTGTTCCTTGCGACGTCATATTGGAGTTGTGTTTCTTGCACCTGGGTAGCCGCGCTGCGCCACTGCTGATTTCCCAGGCTTTTGGCCGTGGGGCCACTGGAAGCACGAGCGCTGGGCTTAGTCAGCATCTAGCATGCGTGCAACATGCCTAGTAGAGGACTCGAGTTCAGAGATTGGAGGGTGGTTTGTGAGGCTCCAACAACAAGCTCCGGAGGATGCGCTCAAACACACCGACCCCCTCGGATCGGCCTGCGACGCCGCGGGCCAGCCCTGAGGAGAGCGCGCTCGAGACTTTCAATTTGCAGGGCGTCCCTGATGCTCGGCTGCCAGGAGACACCCAGAAGCACAGCCCCTAGCTGCTCAGAATGCAAAGGAGAGACACGTCTCGGGACCGTGCTGCGTCGCGCATCAGCGTGGTCGTGTCGTGGGTTGTTCCGAGGTCCTGTGCCCCCTGCACAGGCTGCCATTCACGCTGTTGTGCCATGTAGCGCACAAGGCCCATGCCGTGCCCATGCCACCGTGCCAGGCCCCAAGTCCCCCGGGGGCGGCCCCGGGGGCGGCCCCGGGGGCGGCCCCGGGGGCGGACCCCGGTAGCCGGCAGGCGATCACCATCTTTGGTTGCACGGGCAAGTCCCTTGTAAAGCATTCACGAACTGTGATGCAACTCGCCATGACAGCCAGCATAGCCAGAAGCAAAGGTATAAACTCATAAACGACACTTTTGAGCCAGAGCCTTGGTGGGTCGACGGTTGCAGACGCTTTTCTGCCCACAAATTTCCTCTCTCTCTCTCTGCGAGGCCCCTGCAGATGCTGCACCAGAACAAGCCATGCTGGAGGGCCAGGTCTGCCACGCCAGTCCAGTTCTGAGCAGACTGTCTGCCGTTCATCGCCGCCCGATGACTACGTGATGGTGCACAAAGGTGTACTTGTTCCACACCGGCAAGTCGCGATGGGTCATCAGCAAGAAGGTCAATGCTCCTGCCTGAAATCTGGGGTGCAAGATGCCGCTGAACCTTCGTAAATTTTTCAGCCTTTTGGAGCAAGATCGTGCAGTGTGCGGCGTGGCTTACTTGCTCAAGCAACAGCATGTATGCTTCAGCTTGGCAGTAGTTGCTTGCTAAAGACTCGTTCCCGTCTGACGGTGAGGTCCCAGGCCTGTGGCATGTTCAAAACGGTTTGTGGCGAGTCTGGACCTGAATGTTGCAGGAATTCTGGACATTGGACCACATGCATGGCCCACAAGCGCCCTAAAGCGCTGCTTCTTTGCGCTTGGCTGCCGTTGGTACTGAGCGTGCCTGGGCAGCTCAGAATGCTCCCCTTCCGGCAGCTCGAACTTGCGAAACAGAGGACCCTCGGTGAAGCTAGAGCCATAGTCCCGCCCCTGAGGAGAGAGCGACAGAATTTGATGGGAGTCTTGCCTGCGCTTTGAAATTCCGGAGTACACGCGGTTTGACAGCCGTCTCCATCGTTGCTTTCCTGTCGGAGTCCTCGCATAGGCTTACAGGATTTCTTTCCATTGGAGACCAACCACGCCAAGGCGAGACGGCATGCTCGATGATGTTCGATGTTTGCATGTGAACGTACGTAACCAGCACCAGCACCCCACTTTCGGGCTCGCCAAAAAGAGGGGGGTGTTCAGGATATTTGATGCTTAAGACCAAAGCCGCTACGCGGCCACTCGACCGTGGCATGTATCTTGAACACGCCCACTCCTTTGTCGAGTCCGGTTCATCGTTTTTCTTAAAACAGCCCCCTCATTTGGCGATTCCGGTGCATCATACATCTGAAACGTGATCCCTCATTCGGCGAGCTCGGTTCATCATGTATCTTGAACACGCGCCGCATTTGGCGACTCCGGTTCATCATATTGCTTAAACATGCCCTTTCATTTGGCGATTCCGGTTCACCATATTATCTTAAAACACGCCCTTTCCTTTGGCGATGCCGGTCCATCATATATCGTATATTAACACGCCCCCGCACTTGGCGATGCCGGTTCATCATGTATATTAAAGACGGCCCCTCATTTGGCGCTCGCAGTTCACCATACATCTTGAACACTTTCCCCTCGTTTGACGATCCCGGCTCATCATATATCTTGAACACACCCCGTCCTTTGGCGACTCCGGCTCATCATACATTTTAAACACGACCCCTCGTCTGGCGACTCGGTTCATCACAAAAATGAACACGCCTCCTTATTTGGCAACTCCGGTTGATGATAGACCTTCAACAAGCCCCCTCCTTGCCGAGTCCGGTTCATCGTACATCTCAAATAAGTTCCTCATTTGGCGATCCCGGTGGTTCATCACATGTCTTAAACAGGCCCCCCTCATTTGGCGTTTTTGCTGCGGCACGCGGCCCTGCGGCCCGTGGCTACACCAACGTACACCGCAAAAACAACTTTTATCCGTAAGATGTGTGATGATTCGGGATCGCCAAGGCAGGGCCGTGCTTGAGATATGTGATGAATTGGGATCACCCAAAGAGGGGGCGAGTGTAAGATATGCGAACAACTTGGATCGCCAAATAAGGGCACGTGTTTTTGACATATCATGTGATGAAACGAGATTACCAAAGGCGGGGGCGGGTTTGAGAAATGTGATCAACCGGGATCGCAGAATGAGAGGGCATGTTTAACAAATGTAATCAACCGGGATCGCTCAATGAAGGCGTGATTAGGATATGTGTTTAATCCGGACCGCCGGTGGAACCGGCGAACTTAAGATACGTGATGAACATGGAATGCCAAATGAGGGGCGGGGTTAATGGGTGTGACCATCCTGGATCGTCGCCAAATGAGGGGGCGAATTTAAGATATGTCGTCAACTCGATCGCCAAACGAAGCGGAGGGCATAACAGATGTGATCAACTGGAATCTCCAAATGAAGGGTGTGTCTAAAAGAATCAGGATCGCCAAGGAAGCGGCGAGTTCACACACAGACAGAGACACACACAGACAGAGACACACACACACAGACACACACAGACAGAGACACACACAGACACAGACACACGCAGACACAGACGCACACAGACACAGACAGACACAGACACAGACAGACACAGACACAGACAGACACAGACACAGACACACAGACACAGACACACAGACACAGACACAGACACACAGACACACAGACACACAGACAGACACAGACAGACACACAGACACACAGACACACAGACACACAGACACACAGACACACAGACACACAGACACACAGACACACAGACGCACAGA